CTAATGCCTGACAATCTCCAGGTGATTCATGAAGTCCTAATTTGTTCTGTTTCCACTGCTTAGGTTGTGTCTTCCAGGTTTTACCCTTATAAAAACAACATAAATGTTACTACAAGAATGCTGATTTCTCCACAGAAACCTGTAGAAACCTGTGGGTTATTTTTATAAAGGCAGAGGCACTGAGCACCACATTAATAACTTGGTTTTCTGTCATTAACTCTGGAATCCTGTGAAAAGTGAATACATTAAATTACAATTAGAAGTAAAGTTACTGCTGAAGAAAATGTTTTTTTATACAAAGAGTTGCAGAGACCTGCTTGTTTTGCTCCATTTAATTCCAGTCATATTTTTGGAAGTGGTAGGGATTGTAAGCAAACCGAACTTGTGTGTTTAGATGGGTAATTTTGACACAGAGGTAATATACACTAGATGTGACACACTAGATGTGTTTTTAAACTTGATTTCATTTGGATTCTACGGCAGTGAAGACCCTTATGTTTTTTTTAAACTTGTGTGAGGTGTCTTCGGTGTAGCAGTGCGATAGATTTGGGTATTAAGATGGACACGACTGTGATCTTTGGAAAGCTTCCGTAAGAAAACGCTCATGCTGGTACTTCTGTAAGTGCCGTGCATCTGTGAAGGCAAGGCAGTAATCTCTCAGCCTGTCTCTGTGGATGCAGAAGGCTTTTTCTAGTCTGACCAGTCTCTTGCTGTAACAGTATATACTGTATATATAGAAGATATACTTGTATGCAAACTGGATTTTTTTGTTGCGTGGCTTTATTGTATGAGCACTGGATGATTGCTGAGGAATGAAGAGTTTATAATTAGTTGGTCTGGTTCTGCCTTATCTTGAGGCAGATAAATAAGGCTGTTAGTTGCCCAGAAGTTTCTTTGATTTTTTAGATTTGGCTTCATACATCTGAAATCGGGTCAGCAAAGGAGCTGTTGATCATAGTCTCACATAGACGTTCCTTTGTTGATCACAGCATAACTTCTTCAGACTTGTGTACAGGCCAAGAGGGTCCTTTGGGGATCTCTTGTCCTCTGGCTGAGGACTATATAGTGCTGGCTAACCCCCTCACTCACATACATCCTCTACTCCTTGAGAGAAGATCTGGCACAGCTTTAATGAACCTGTTACAAAGTCCATCAGTGCAATGCCAGCTATTTTAGACCCAACTGAAGAAAGTTCAGTCGGGCGAGTGGGTGCGGCACGTTTCCCTTGGGGCTCCCTGGGAGCCAAAGTTGGGCACACTGTGATGAAAATAACCCCTCTGTGTTTATTCTTCACAGTCTGTCATACAACTAACCCTGCAGCAGACAGGGACAGGGGCTCAGGAGGGGATTGGTGGACCCTCGGGAGCCATTGTCAGTTTCTATTCTGCATCAATCCAACAAGTTTTTTCATGGCAGCTTAGGGTACAGTGCCTGTAATTTTAACAGAGCTGAATAATATTAATAAACTCTCTTGCATGAGTTACCAGTCTAACTACCTAACAACAAAATTGTAAATACGGTAACAAACATCTGAGTTAATTGTGAATTATCTCTAATTGTGTTCATGCCCTGTACCATAGCACTGAGCCTGTTCGTTACCAGGAATGAGCAAAGTTCTGGTCATGGAAGAATGGATAGATGTTTCCATTTTGAGGTTTCAGCCTCGTATTTTAGAAAGCTTGACTGATAGGAGACCTCTTGCTGCATCCAGGAGAATCCTGGATGCTCCTCAGAATCTGGCTCCCTGTCACCTTCAGGCACTTAAAATTTTAAACACTTTAGTCTTCCTTTACATATGTTAATTGTTCCAACGTAATACGTAACACAACCCAACACTTTCTTATTACTTTATGTATTATAAAGACAGCTTTGTAAGTGCTGCTGTTTGTCTAACATGGTAACACATGCCTTATTAGTGAAACATACAGTTTATTAGTTTATATTTAGTAGTAAGCACACATAAGGAGTATGTAGTTTCTGTCCTGGGCTGATCCATCATTTGTTAAGTGTTAGTTTGTCAGTCATAAAGAGCTAAACATGACTTAAAGGTTAATGCTGAAATAAGATGGTAATATTTTCGTCACAAATGCCTTTCTCATTTCATTCCCTTGTAGAACACGGTCCCCTTCAGGACAAGAGCCTTGATAGGCTTCCCGGACTCTCACTTTGTGATTCCTGAGGGCTATCTCTTCCCCATTTTCTAATTAGTTTTTCCAAGCCATTTGCAATTTCTAGTGGCTTTAAATAATACACCTAATATGCCTCTTCAGGCAGTGTTTAAAAGGGTAAAATTAACAGGCCCTCGTCCCTCGCCTTTGTTTGACATTCGTATGAGGTCACTGGTGTCTTGTTCATTTACTGAAGCCCCTGGCATATTAGTAAATATTTTTTTCTAAATTGCCTTGACTACAGGAGACCAGTTCTGGTAATGTGATGTGGGATTTAAAATTTGGTTTTGTATGAAGAATTCCCAGCCCCCCAGCCTCACAGGCTGCCAGCTCTGGAGTACATTAGTGTGCAGGACCTAGTCTTATCTGCACAGCCTTGTGCCGGTCATGTGCACTGTAATCAGGACTGGACGTTCCCAGAACCAACCGCCCATGGAACTCGGGACGTCTCTGCTTCATTTCATTCTCTGATGCACTGATAAAGCTTAAAGGTCTCATAACTGCTCCATAGCAATGTGCTCTATATTGTCCATTACCTCTCTCAGTATGGCCATTTTTTCATGCCCCATGATGCTTTTTTTGAACCACAATATGTAACAATTTACAGAAGTGCACAATGTGTGGAATTCACCCAAAGGAGCCGACGAGGTCACCTGGGAGAGGTCCTGCAAGATCAACGGCAGCACAGAGATCTCGGGATTCAAGTGCAGACAAAGCTAAAGAATACGGAGGACAGGAAACAGGGGGGGTCAGAGGAGTGAGACCATAACATGGTCCCCGTGTTGAGGTTGACTCATGCTGTGGGATCCTTTAAAAAATAGCTGGTTGGGACATTAGGCTAATTGCAGTCAAATGCCTGCAGCCATATCACCCTGCAACTCACAACTAGCAACCCACTGAAGCTAAGCAGGTGTGAACCTGGTCAGTACCTGGATGGGAGACCTCCTAGGGAAAAATTAAGGTTGCTGCTGGAAGAGGTGTTAGTGGGAGCAGTAGGGGGTGCTCACCCTGCAGTCTGTGTGGGTCCTAATGCCCCAGTATAGTGACGGGGACACTATACTGTAAACAGGTGCTGTCCTTCGGATGAGATGTAAAACCGAGGTCCTGACTCTCTGTGGTCAGTACTACTGTGTAATATTATTGTTGCTATTATTATAATTGTAATTATTAATATTATTATTAATTATTTTTAATAAATATATTCCTTTTTTTGAGGCAGTTTTTTTTAAAAAGGGTGTTTCTCGAAAAGAGTAGGGGTGTAACCCCGGCGTCCTGGCCAAATTTCCCATGCCTCCTAATAATCCCCCTCTATGAATTGGCTACATTACTTTGTTCTCCCCCCCCCCCCCAACTCCGATGGCAGGCGGAGCGACGTACCGGTTGGAGTATTTCTTGGTCGCAGTTAATGGCAACGTCAGCTCAAAGATTTGGTTCAAACCACCAAATGGAGACTGGTGTGCCGACAAGCGGACCCTGCTGATGCGGGATTAACGCTAGGAACGAGAGAGAGAGGCTAATTGCAGTCAAACAGACAAAAAGGGCAGAATGGCTCTATTTGAGAGTCATTTTCGAAGTGATGAAGAAGTTTTGACATTTTTGCGTCTCTCATTGGTGATGTTACTCAACGTCCAACTCTCCGGGCACATGTGCATATTTAGAAATCACTTAAAATGAAGTGACCCTGCTTGTATCTCAAGATTAATAATAACATCCTTTATCTAATTACTGGCTCTACAGGGCACATTTAAGTTTTTTTCTGAGGGGCTATTAAAGTTGAGTATTTTAAAAGGCTCGCTTGATTTATCATACAGCAGATCTCACAAAAATATTAGACAAGGACAGACATTAAAACACTTTCAATCACATCTCGCTCACTATAACACCTACACTAGCCTGAATTCAGTAGTAGTATAGTGAGTTCTATACTAGTGATTTACTCTCAGCAGTACAGTGCTGTGATGTACTGTATAATGAGTTCTCTCTGGTAAAATAATTGGGTTAAATGTAAAAATACCAGCAAGCCAGCAATGTATGGGCTATTTTCTTAGGAGGGATTAATGTCCATGCTTCAGATTGCATCAGATTGTATGTGTACCTATAGCAGTGAAACTGACAGATTTGACCCCAGAGGTCTTTTCTTCCCTGTAGATGGTCTCTAACACTATGGAAGCTATGATTCCAGCCTCCACCTTTACTGATCGGTAATCCTCCTCTCCAGTCCTCTGGGGTCATAATCAGGCAGGTGTTTAACAATCTGTGAAACAGCAGGCAGGAGGATTAACTTCATTTATGTGAATAATGAGTCCAGTAAGGTGTCCTGGCAGTAGTAAGATCTTGTGTTCCTCAAGGAGCAACGTTGCTGCCCCTAGTATAGTTCAGCAGCAGTGGAAAGATTTTGTGTCCTGCAGCCTCTGTTGTCAGAACCTAGAACCACAAGCATCTCACTCCTGAATGAAGCACTGTCATGAAAGTCATGACCACGAGCTCTTCTCAAAGTGGAGGTCCACATCTCCAAGACAGCAGGGTCCAGAGATGACTGTATGACCTCTAGACCCAAGCCTTGTTCTAAAATCTAAAAAATGGGCATTAGTGGATTCCCTGGCCTGTCCTGTGTTCTGGGTGGGGGGCAGGAGGTGCCCATAGGAGACTAGAAAAATCTGTTGGCCTTATTGCAGGCTATATTAGCCATGTGAATCATGGAGGCTGTGCATTCTGGGTGTCCTGTTACAGGCCTTATAAGGGTGGCCAGTGCAGGAGTGCTATCACTTTCTGCTCCACTGCAGAGGGGTGCTATTCTTAGGCTGTCACTCCAGCCCATCTCAGCAGGCAAGACCTCTCGTTCCTGTGACTTTCAATGTGGTTGTCTTACTCTGTCACTTTGCTGTCTTAAGAGGGGAATTGGGAAAGATTTTGCTTTGTGTATGCCTTTTGATCAGAAGTAGTGTTTTTCAAAAAGGTTTTTCACATCTTTTTATTTTTTTTTTCCAGCGGCTGTTTGGCGTCTTCCCCGCTTTCTCCTTCCCCCCCCGTCCATTTATTTTCAAGACTTGGGAGGACAATTTGAAAACGCAAAACAATTTCGAAAACTTTTTTGAAAATGAGCAATTACACTGTGACCCTGTCTGGACCAGCTCCATGGGGCTTCCGCCTGCAGGGAGGGAAGGACTTCAACATGCCCCTCACCATCTCCAGGGTAAGCTATAGCACCGCAGCTGGCCGGACTGCCTGCGCACTTCGTTTACGGGGATCCTGTGTAACAACATAGGCATGATTCCCTTTGCTCAGAAAGGGGAAAAAAATGCCCAGAATTCAACTCACCTAGGCCCACAAGAGCCTCTGGTTTCTCATTGTGGAAGTGAATTTTTCTGTAGCGTTGTCTGTTGCAAATATTATGCTCCTCCTTTATTTGTGGATTTTACAAATACTGTCCAGTTACAAGCTGAAAACATGAAAGTGTTTGATTTGTCTACCTCTTAGCACTAGAATAACATTTAACTTGATGTTCATAAAGCTTTGCAGTATATTTGTGTATTTTAGCCCTATTTTCTCAGTCTGGTATCAGGTATAGTAATTTAGTTAAGTATAAGATGAGACTGTTTCTGCATGGCCAGGGCTGTCAGGAGTCAGACTTCACAGGGAAGTGGCTGAGACTGAGCAGATGTGTTCCTGGTGTGAAGAACTTCCTTTGATTCTGGCTGACGAAAGCCAGTGTCGCTTTTCACTTGCACTGAACTGAACATGTCTGACCCTCACATTTGTAAGCAGTGGGCTCTTGGAGTCATTTTACTTCAAATCCTAAACTCCACTGATTTGGAGATTATTAGGCCTGCAGGCCCCTATGTCAGATCCAGACAGAGCCTGTGGAATGGCTTATTCTCAGTGTTGGGACTTTCTGTCTCTATTGCTTATTCTAGGGACTGTAGCCCTTGGAAAAATTCATTGTTAGAGTCCCTGTGTTGTGATGACAGTGTATATGTAATTGTCTATTGATTTTAACTTGACCTTGGTATGAATGGGCTTGATTATTAATGCATGGTATGCTCTGTTGTGCAAAGCTCTGCTCCCTTCCTTATGCAGAAGGACAGTTCTTTAGTGATCTCTGAAATTGCTGTTGTAGTTTTATTTTAAGCCCACGATCAATCCTGTTAGATCTTTATTTTTTAGAACAAAAAAATGTTTGCAAAGGGGCATGTGATGTTAATGAAGTGGAACCAATCAGTTACAATCAAATTGAGGCAATGTGATGGCTTAATTACAGATTCTTATCAATAATAATAATAATAATAATAATAATAATAATAATTGCTTGTGTTTCATCCCAAATGATCTCAAGGCACTTCATGACTGCAGTGCAGTCCTACCTGGGCAACACACAGCAGGCATTATGACCAGCAGCCCCACTGGACAAGTGAGAAATTAGTTCAACTGTTCTGTTAAGGTGGTTACTTTAGGGAGATCAGATTGTACAAGCCAGGAGTGGAATTTAGCCAGGTCACCAGAGTTAATACCTCTAATCTTGCAAACAATGCCATGGGATTTTTCATTTACAAATAATTGTTAATTATATATAATAATTGCACTTCAGTTTAAGCATCTCTTCTGAAGGATAGCGCACTGTACAGCACAGTGCCCAGCTCCTGTATTGGGGCACTGTATTGGAAATTGTGAGTGCCACCTGCTGTTCTAACATTACCGCTTACCCTGGTTTTTCTTGGAGGTTTCCCTTCCCAGTACTGACCAACCCAGAGATTGGATGACACCATGCAACAAGATAGTAACACTACAGCCAGTGGCTGCTAAATGTCAGGCTTGGTTTCTTCTCACCTAAACCAATCTGTATTAATAACATACAAGGTTGTTGTAATAGTCAAAAAACACTTGTGGAGGCTTTGAGTTGAAATTGTTGATGCTCCTGGTATGTGTGTATAGTAATTCCTGTTTCTGCCTAAGATATTTGTGTTTTACTCACTAGTGTACCTGTATTTCTGTATCTATGTGAATATATGTTAAGATTTAGATTAAATGTATGTGAAGATAGGACTAAGCTCAAATTTCCCTGGGCTCATTCTAATACTGTAGGGAACAGGGTAAAGAACTGGAAATCTACTTTAGAAACAAAAACTGCCTGCTACTTTCTCATAAAGTGGGCCAGGATATACCCTTTAGCTAAGTAACATGGGATTTTAAGGACGTGAACACCTTAAACCATTCAGTGTTTTTAAAATATTTCTGTTGCACGGTTAGAGCATACTTCAGAAAGATCTGAGCCTGAAGTAGAGGGAAACCTCAGCCACGATTTCTGTTGCTATTACTTAGAGGCCTTTGAGGAGGGACAGTCACAATTAGATTGCATTTAATCTTCTTATGCTTTGCCTTTTGATTGTCATGTTGATATTAGTAACTACAAGGATTCCAGGATTCCATTGCCATTTTGTTTAAAGATCTACTACTCTTTCCAGTCCTAAAAGCTCTTTTGTGGCTTGCTCTCAACTCTGTAATCTGGATTATTTCGGCCAGAGATCGGACCCTGGAACTAGGGCAGTATAAGCCCACGCTCATGCATGCTGAGCTTCCAGGTCAAACGCTGGAGCTCACTTTCTGTGCACATTTACAAACTTTTCTTTTTTCTTTGGTACAGTATCAGACAAGCTCATCTTGGTGCTTGATTCTTTTTTTGCTTTCATCATCCATTAGTTGTACCGACAAAAGGCAAAGCATGAATAAGAATATATCACTTATGATGTAGTGATTGACTCAACATAGACTTTTAGGAGCTGCAACAGCAGTGGTCTCTGGTGCCTCCTTTGGTATGAGGCTGCTCCAGCTCTCTTTGTGTTGTGGTGTATGAGATGCTTGGCCCGGTGATTTTAAATAGAGCAAATCCATTTGGCTGCAGTGGAAGACCTGTGAGGTTCAGACTGCTGATTTTTGGCTTGGGGAAGTTGGGGCTGCTAAGTTTAGCCTCTTGGAAGAGACTGAGAGGGGCTCAGGTGGTCGGGCCTTATGTCAAGCCAACTACAGACGCAGAAGCCCCAGTCAATCACAGCCTTGACAGGTGAAGACGCATTTTGTACTGCTGTTTCTCTTACGCATCCTATTGTGAACTACGATTAAGCTGCCCTTTTCTAAAAATACTGCCATGAAAAATTTGACTTGTTGCCTACTGTAGGTGGTCTTCAAGTACGTATTTCCACAACACACTGGGTGTGGCTGAGATAGAGTGAGGGGACAGAGGCAGAAAAGATTTAGATCTTTAAATTCCTGATCCAGAACTGCAGCCTCTGAAACAGGATGTAATTTACAAGTGCCACTGCTGCTGTCCATCACTCATCTTGCAATTATTGTGAGCTGCATTTTCAAGCCCTGGAAATTGAAATTCAAATGGAAACTGTTTAACAGCAAGCTCACAGCTCAGTGACATTTACAGTACGTGGAGATGATGGCTGTTGAGTCAAACCCTGTCTGCTGATAGTGAATATATGTTTCTGCTATCAGATGATTGTAATATGGACAGAATGTTTGCAAAAATGTCAGAGCTATCTTATCCTTTTTTAATTTTTACAACAACAAAAAAAGTAAATATTGTGATACTGAAATGGGTGAGGCTGTCTGTGCACTTACTGTGGCTCCTGGGAGAATTGCAGTGAGATACGTGTGTGTTTCTGTTCCAGAAACCTCTGTTTGGTGGACTCACTAGTTATGTTGCTGTAGATTACCCAGTGGAGCTGCTGTTAAATGCATTTTTAGAAGCTATGTCCTGAACATGCTCATGCATACTGGTTAATCCAACAGAATCATTTAATCAGATGGAGCACTGCTATACTGTTGATTTACCAATTGGTATAGTATGTTTCTAATGCATACCAAGATACTGTATTCTGGTTCCTCCCCAATTCCAGTTGCAGGTCAATTATGCTTATATGAATTACATTAAAAATTATCTTTTATTTAAGCAATTTTGCATCAGCATGTAAAGTCCCAGTATAAGGACCAAGATAAGTTCAATAATTCACACTTTTATATGAAAGAGGTAAATTGTTTTACCGTTGTTGATCCATGTTAGTTAACAATTTAAAACTTTGTTTTAAATATGCATAGTTTAAGATGCAAAACGGGTTTTTATAGTCCGATTCACTTGTCTAGAGGTGCATAGTCAATTTTGCGACATTACATATGATTTTAAAAAATGAACGACATGCTTCTAATGGCTCTCGGGTGAAATGTAATGCTTTCTGTTGCTTAGGAACATAAAACAAGAGGAAGCCATTTAGGTCCATTTATCGCAGTTTGTAATCAGTAGTTAATTGATTCAAGGATCTCATCCACCTGTTTCTTGAAAGACATAAGGGTATCATATTCAGGATATCATCTTCATCAACATTTATGAGTACTCCCACAACTTTTTGTGTATAAAAAAGAAGGAGTACCTCCGTTAAATGCATTTTCACAAAGTTTCCTTGTGTGTCTTCCAGTCTTCTGAACAACTGCTGGGCTGTCAGTCAATGGATTTTGAACACTCACAGCCAGTTGTTTTAATTGTAGTCTGTTTTGAATTTTGCTGTCCACATATTGAATGTAGAAACAACAGCAATGGGGCATTACATCCTCTGGAAGTGCTAATTATGCATTTTATTTTCTAAAAATGGGCTGTGTTTTAAGCCATGAATTGTAGTTGTATTAATATGACATGGAGAGAAAATGATTTAAGAGCTTTTTAGGTATTAAATCATGTGGTCTGTGGTGTTGCACTAAGAGGGATAGATGGTAAATACTCAGAAGCCTTTGGAGACGACCTGCTTTAAACCATCTCCTAACCACTCCAGGAAATCAAACTCAAGGCAACCACATCAAACAGGAAGTCAAGACTTCCTGGTGGGTGGAGTAAGGAGTCACAGCAGACAAGTCTCATGAGAGGAAATAGGCTCCACACCTAATCTGAGCCATGAAACAGGCTTTCTGACCAAGAGGAAACTAGAGAGCCTGAATAACATCAACATTGTGTGATTGAGCTAAAATTACTGAATTTCTGCTTTGAATTTGTGCTTTTCTCAGTTGCTCAGTTTTTGTTGGTTTATTGTGAAATAATTTAAGCAGCTTAGCTACCTATCTTATAATAAGGGACATAAAAGAATATTAGGGCTCCATCAAACCCCCAGCTCTCTTGTTTTGTTCTGGTAACTTGTGTGCCTGCCG